AATTTATTCTTTTGCAAATAAATTTATAAACTGCGAAATACTAGGCATAAATAGAATGTAAAAAAATATTGTTTTTGAAAAAAAAGTCCCAAAAATTTTGGGCCTTACAATTTTTTTTCCTTTTTAAATCGAGTGAAAGACAAAAAAAATTTGGTTTTCAAATTAACTTAAAAATACTTTCGCAAAATAGAATGTTAAAAAAAAAACACCGAAAATAAGTCCCAAAAATTTTGGGCCTTAACTATTTTTTTTGCCTTGAATGAAACAAATGGAAATTTCAATAAGTTTGTTATAATAAATTGCAAAAAAAAAAAAAAAAAAAACTTGCAAACAAAATTTAAAAGAAGTTTCAAAAGAAGTCCCAAAGATTTTGGGCCTTACAAACTTTTTTTTTTTTTTTTTTTTTGCTTTTCAAATCAAATGAGTTATAAAATGGAAAATTTAAAGAAGTTTTCAAAGAAGTTTAAAAACGTACGCAAATAGAGTGTAAAAGAGATTTTTTTTTTTAAGTCCCAAAATTTTAGGGCCTTATAAATTATTTTCCAATTCATCGAATTAAGAAATAATGGAAGTATATAAAATAGTTTTCAGATAAACTGAAAAGAAGCAAATAGAATGTATAAAATAAAATCGACAGTAAGTCTCAAATATTTTGGGCCTTATAATTTTTTTTTTTCAACTCATCGAATTAAAAACAAAAATAGAAATCTATAATAGTTTTTCCATAATAAATACCCCCCCCCCTTTCACCTGCAAGAAATGGCAAATAAAATAAGTCCCAAAAAATTTGGGCCTTAAATTTTTTTTTTTTTTTAATCACAATCTGAGTGTAATAATAATAATAATTTCAACAAAATACATAGATATATTGAGGATCAGAAGTCAAGTACCACTTTTTTTTTCTTTCTTTTTTTTTTTTTTTTTTTTTTTTGAAGGGGGCCTCATTGAAATGCATCGGCAGGTTCGAAAGGGAACACTCTATTAAGGGCCCCTAAAACGGCTCGTCAAGAAAAAGAGAGAGAGAGAGATCCCGCAATCTCGATTCCAGCGTGACTTCAAATTTCCTTCTCTCTCTCTCTCTCTCTCTCTCTCATTCTCTCTAGCTGGTCATTAAGGTCGTCGGGGCCCCAACGAATATTTAAATTGAATTTACGAGCTCAAGAGCCCGCGGGCTATGCGTCGAGTAAGGCCCCTCTTTCCCCCTCCCCTCCCCCTACCTCTTTTGGTCCAAGAGAGAGAGAGAGAGAGAATTCGAAATCAATCATCACAGTCAGCACAGACATCAAAGATCAAAAACCCGCAACCTTCAAAGGCATTTAAAAATTTTTTTCAATCATTTGGGCCTTATGTATATTCAAAAAAAAAAAAATTAAAAAAAAAAAAGTTTTGTTTTACTGAAAAAAAATTATTTTTACTTGTTTCGATTGAAAAAGTGTGAGACAAATAAATCTAAATTCTAGTCAAAACATGAGAAATTTGTGTGTATATTTATATAATGTTAAGAATTATGTATGTATAGAGAGAGAATTAAGGCCCCGCAGGACTTATCTCACCTTCAATGACAATCAAATGACTTATGTTGATGTCTGGGATTAGTTTTTTTTTTTTTTGAATATATATGTGTGTGTGTATATTATCGTGCTATGAACAAGGTCACAGTTCCTATACAAAAAAAATTTTTTTTTCCGATCATTTCCCCCACTCTTTATTCATTAATAATGCTATTTTGGGCCTTGTTCCGGAATAGAATGTCAAACAGTGAATTTCATTTTGTTTCTTTTTTTTTTTTTAAATAATTTCAATAGTTACACTAATTATTGTATTTGTTAGAAAATTTAAAAAAAAAATTGGGCCTTATTTCATATTTTTACAAAAATAAGGCCCCAAAAAAAAAACAGTTTCCTTAAAAATAAGTCCGTAAGTTCTTATATGGTATCAACAAAGTTCTTCAAAAATAAAGAATAAATAAAAAATAAAAAAAAAATTCATTAACATTGAAATAAGTCCCAAAAAAATTGAAAAAGTCCCAAAAAAAATTTTTTTTTCAACATTGACAATAGTTTGTTTTTCAATGACATAATTCAGACTTGGTAAATTTTTTTTCCCTTGCTTTTTTGGGGCCTTATATTTTTACCTTTTTTGGGACTTATTTTTACCATTTTGGGACTTATTATTAGCTTTCTTTCTTTCTTTCTTTTTTTTGACTTATTTAAAAAAAACTGTTACCATAAACAATATTTTATTCAAACATAATTAGTCCATTTTTTTTTTTTTTTGGGTCTTATTTTTGGGGAAATTTTTTTTTGGGGACTCATTTAAAAACTGTTAAAAAAAAAACTTCGTAATTAAAAAATTATTAAAAGTCTTTTAAAGTACATACAACTAGCCTAATTTAAAAAAAAAAAATTTTTTTTTGGGACTTAATTCAAAATAAGGCCAAAAAAAAAAAACTTTCAAATCCTTTGAATATAGAAAAATCTTTTAAAAAAATAATATATGTTTAAAAAATTTTAAAAGTTGTTTAGTATAATTTTTTTGTTCTTTTATTTTGTCATTATTTCCAAATATTTGGGCCTTTTTTTTGTTGTTGTTTTTTTTTTTATTTATAATAAAAATTTTATTTTAAAAAATATGGTGAAAAAAAAGAAAAGTGTGCTAAATAAAAAAATCTTATGTTTTTTTTGGGGGGGGGGGAGAGGGGGGTTCCCAAATGGGACATTAAGCGTGTTTGTCTGTGTGGGTTTTTTTTTGGTTTTTATAAGTGGCCCTTTTTAAAACGTGAGGTGGGCCCTAAAAAGAAAATTTCAATGCAAGAGAGATGGTGGTGGTGGGGGGGGGGGGGAATTTTAATCTGTGATTCTAACTGATGGCATCGCCAATTTTTCGAGACTAAGTAGGCCTTTCATCGCGGGGCCCTCACTTCAATAATAGAGGGGAAAAAAAATAAGAGAGAGAGAGAGAGAGAGAGAAAAATTGGGCCCTATATATATATATATATAGATAATCCACTTTGACGTATAAATATTCATCTAAATCCTCTATTATACGTGTATATATATATTTATTAAAGTATAAATAACTAGTTTTCTTTTCTTATATATTTAATACAAAAAAAAAATCTCAAATTTTAAACCGGATGTGTTTTTTTTTTTTTTTGGGGGGGAAAAAAAGAAAATGGTGGGGGTAATTTGGATTAAATTTTCCAAAAAATAAAAATAATTATAAAATAGAAATTTAATAATTGAAATTTTTTTTTTTCTTTTTTTTTTTTGGGGGGGGGGGAGTATTTAGAAAAAGACAGACGAAAAAACAACATAAAAAATTTCATTTTGATTTTAAACTATCGTCAAGATTTTTTATTTTCATTTCTATATTACTTTTCGGCACTTCAAAATCTTTCAAGGTCAATATTACAAAATATTTTCTGTATAACTAATCGTTTTATTCTCTTCCGTCATTTTTGGTCTTAATCAATCATAATAATAATAAAAAAAACAAAGAAAAAAAAAAATTTTTTTTATCAGAAGATTTTTTTTTCTTCCTAGTAATAAATTTTCTTTAATCAAAAAAATAGAAAATAAATTAATTTTTTCAATTTTTGGGACTTATTTATCAAAAAAAAAAAAAAAAAAATTTAGTACTCATTTTTGAAGCATTTTGGACTTTATGTTACTTTTCTTTTATGGAACTTATTTCATATAATATAAGAACTTTTTTTTTTTAGATATAATTAAATTTAACATTTTTGGGACTTATTTGACGTTTTTTTTTTTTTGGAATTATTTGAAAAATTTTACAAAATCATTTTTTACATTTTTAACTTATTTAATATCTTTGGAACATTTAAAATCAATTTTTGGGACTTATTTAACATTTTGGGCCTTATTTAAATAATTTACGATTCATTTAACATTTTTGGGACTTATTTGACGTTTTTTTTTTTGGAATTATTTGAAATATTTTACAAAATAATTTCCCACATTTTTAATAATCATTTAATATCTTTGGGACATTTAAAGTCAATTTTTGGGACCTATTTAACATTTTGGGCCTTATTTAAATAATTTACGATTCATTTAACATTTTTGGGACTTATTTGACGTTTTACTTTTTTTTTTTTTTTGAAATTATTTGAAAAATTTTACAAAATTATTTTTCACATTTTTAATAATCATTTAATATCTTTGGGACATTTAAAGTCAATTTTTGGGACTTATTTAACATTTTGGGCCTTATTTAAATAATTTACGATTCATTTAACATTTTTGGGACTTATTTGACGTTTTTTTTTTGGAATTATTTGAAATATTTTACAAAATAATTTCCCACATTTTTAATAATCATTTAATATTTTTGGGACATTTAAAACCAATTTTTGGGACTTATTTAAAATTTTGGAATATAAATTTTTGAGTCTTATTTAAAAATTTTGGGACTTATTGAATTTTTCTTTTTTTTTTTTTGGTAGGAAGTGGATTTGATATTTTTTGAGTTCTTTTTTTTTTTTTTTTTTTTGATTTTAAATATATATATATATAAGTCCCAAAAAAAGACCCAAAAAATTAAGTAAATGTTTTTTTTTTCAAATTAGTTTAAAGAAAATTTTGAAAAAAAAATTTTGTTTTTCTTTCTAAAAATTCTCCACTGATTAAAATAGTTTCAAAAATAGTTTTTTAAAAAAAAAAAAAAAAAAAAAAATACAATAAGTCCCAAAAAAAATTCCCAAAAATTTAATATACATCTAAAATTCTCCTGATAAAATAATTTTCAAAAAAAAATTATTTTACCATATTTTTTTTTCCTTTTTTTTTTAAATTAAAATCGTGAAAAAATACAATTTTTCTATCAAAAATCATTAATGGATAGAAATAGTGGGGAAAAAGGAGGGGGGGGGGGATATGGAAATTATATACAAGATGCAATATCCGGACAATTTGAAGGACAAATTGGGACGATTGCAAAATTATTTCTTCTCGCTATAAGCAAGTGTCGAGTTGTAATTTTTTTTTTTTTTTTTTTTTTTTCTTTACTCTTTGACTCTGTTTCTCAACTAAAACGACAGTGATCTCGTAAACGCGTTTATGCAGTCCGCGGATATATATATATATATATATATATATAAACATTTTTTCCGCTCTCTTTTACACACAGGTTTTATGCGGCTCGTTGAACATCGGGTGGAGGACACACGTTGGGGTACAAGGCCGATTCGAGATTTCTCCCCCCCACCCCTTCACCAATTCATTTTTGCGGCCCTATTCTATTTCCCCTTCCCCCACCCCTATATATATATATAGGTATTAACAAATCAGGCCCCCTCCATTATTTTTCATCGCGTACACGGGTTCCCCACGTGCTACTTGGAAAAATGTTGGATAAAAAAGGGTCGCATACAGAAGATAAAAGATTCAATAGAGATCTTTGTCGCGAGATGCTGTGATGTTTTTTTTTTTTTTTGTATTTTGTCAGAGAGACAAGATATATATATATATATATTTTTTTTTTTTCTTGGGCCAACCGTGAAAGTCGAGATAGAAATCAATGTGTCGCGTGTGTAGTGTATTTGAGGTTAGGGGCCTTATATTACATTCATTTATTAATAATTAATCAGAAAAAAAATTATTATCATTATTATTATTATTATTATTATTATTATTATTATTATTATTATTATTATTACTATTTTTATTATTATTTTTAATATTAGGTTACTATATTTCAATTATTATTATTTAATTCCATTTTCAATGAAATCTAACCTCAATTTCTCACCTCGATTATTTATTACCTTGTAAAATCGCTTCAAAAAGGAATTTAAACTTCAAATTTAGACTATGAATTCTTCTCGAGTGAAAAAATCTTTGTGTAAAGTTTCAGGGATTTATATCTAGGTGGCGTTGCTTAAATGCGATTTTTTAACCTCACCTTTTTAACCTCGAATGTTTGTTAGCCTATAGAATCGCTGTAAATTGGAATTAAGGCTTGAAATTTACACAATGGATTCTTGAGGGAGAAATTGAAAATTATATTTTATTATTATTAATTATTATTATTATTATTATTGTTATTATTATTATTATTATTTGTATTATAATTACTATTTTTATTACTATTTTTATTTATTATTTTTAATATTATGTTCCTATATTTCAATTATTATTATTTAATTCCTTTTTCAAAGAAACCTAACCTCACTTCTCTCACTTCGAATGTTTGTTAGCCTATAGAAACGCTGCAAATTGAAATTAAGACTTGAAATTTGGACAATAGATTCTTCTCGAGTGAGAAAATATGTGTGTAAAATTTCAGAATTTTTTTTTATCCAGGTGGCGCTATTTAAATGCATTTTTTTTTTTTTTGAACGCAAATTAACCTCACTTTCTCACCTCAAATTTTTAGTAGCTTGTAAAATCGCTTGAAAATGGAATTAAAGCTTTAAATTTAGACTATATGCGTTCTTCTCGAGTGAGAAAATGTGTGTGTGTGTGTAAAGTTTCAGGGATTTATATCCAGGTGGCGTTGCTTAAATGCGTTTTTAAAGAAACCTAACCTCATTTCACTCACCTCAAATGTTTGTTAGCCTATAGTATCGCTGTAACTTGGAATTAAAGCTTGAAATTTGAACAATAGATTCTTCTCGAGGGAGAAATTGGGAATTATATTTTATTATTATTAATTATTATTATTATTATTATTATTATTAGTATTATTATTAATTGTATTATAATTACTATTTTTATTAATATTTTTATTATTATTTTTAATATTATGTTACTATATTTTAATTATTATTATTGTTTAATGCGTTTTTTAATTAAACCTAACCTCAATTTTTCACCTCGATTATTTATTATCTTGTAAAGTCGCTTCAAAAAGAAATTTAAACTTCAAATTTAAACTGTGGATTCGTCTCGAGGGAACAAATGTATATCTAAAGTTTCAGGATTTTATATCCAGATGGCGCTATTTAAATGTCTATTAAACGAAAATTAACCTCATTTCGAACATTTTGTTAGCTTATAAAATTATTGTTAAAATTGGAATTATTATTGCATGAAATTTAAACTATAGATTCTTCTTGAAGGGAGAAAATAATTTTACATAAAGTTACACTATTTTGTCGCCAAGTGGCGCTTCTATAGCACAACATAACCTCAATTTCACACCTTGAATGTTCTTTGCAAAATAAAATTAATCTTTAATATTTTAACAGTGGATTTATTTTGAAGGAGAAAATAATTTTTTTTTTCCAAAGTTTCAACATTTTATGTTAAAATGGCGTAATAATAATACCTCAATAAGTGAAATCTAACCTCAAAATTATATTCGAATTTTTGTAAAAAATTAATTGTTAAATAAAAATTAGATTTGAATATTGTTGGCCTTATTTCAAAAGGGTTGAAAAAGAAAAAAAAAAAATTCTCACATTAAAAAATTAATTTAATTAAACTTTTTTCCTTAGGAAAATAAAAAACAATTTTTTTTTCCTATTTATGTAAAAAAAAAAAAAAAAAAAAAAAAAAAAAAAATTTACAAATTTAGAAAAAAAAAAACACTTTCCAAATCTTTCTATAGGGAAAAAAAATGTGTGTATGTATATTTGTGTGTGTGTGTGTGAGTGGGTGTGTGGGTGAGGGGGAAAAATCGATGAAACGCGTGAAATTGAAGGAAAGGAGAGTGGCGGCGCGGTCTGTATTTTTTTTTTCTTCTCAATTTTTTTTTTTTAAAGGAATGATGCAAGGGTAGCGCCACTCACTATAGGCTCGACCAATTAGAATGAGGATTGTATAATTGGGGAGATAAAGAATCAAGAATTCCCAGGCACCTACCAGCTGCCAATGTGATGCGGAGGCTGCTTATATTTAGATATATATATATATATATATATATATATATGTGTATGAGAGGATGCAGAGGAGAAAACCAGACGCAGGTACAAGTTGGACGGACGGACAGACAGACGGATTGCCTAAAGGCCAGTAGGACCAAATCATCATCATCATCATTATCATCGCCATCATCATCATTAAAGTCATCATCGTTATTTTTATTATTACTATCTTATTATTATTATTATTATTATTATTATTATTATTATTTATTATTTATTATTATTATTATTATTATTATTTATTATTATTATTTATTATTATTATTATTATTATTATTATTATTATTTATTACTACTACTATTACTATTTATTATTATTATTATTATTATTATTATTTATTATTATTATTATTATTATTATTATTATTATTATTATTGATTTTTATCAATTTTATCATTGAATTTTAAGGGTTATTTGTATTTTTTTTTTTTTGTTTTTAGGTATTTATTTGGTTATTTTTTTTTTTTAGTCAAAAGCATTAGAGTGGTTGAACGTGTAAGATGTAAAAAAAAAAAAAAAAAAAAAAAAAATCTTTCACCTCGTAACTTTAATAACGAATATTGTCAATGGATATTGATAATTAAATGTGAAAAATATAATGATTCAATTTGTTTTGTGTGAGAAAATATGTATGTAAAATTTAAAAATTTTTTATCCAGATGATGCTGTTTAAATGTTTTTTTTTTTTTTTTTTTTTTTTTTTTTTAAATAAAATCTAACCTCACTTTCTCTCACCTTTGAATGTTTGTTAATCAACAGAATTGCTGTAAATTGAAATTATTGCTTGAAATTTAAACTATATGAATTTTTCTCAAGTGAAAAATTTTTTGTGTCAAGTTTTAGAGTTTTCTATCCAGGTGGCGCTAATTTAAATATCTTTTTATCGAAAACTAACCTCACTTTCTCATCTAACATGTTTTTTTTGGCCTATAGAATCGATGCAAATTGGAATTAAAGCATGAAATTTGGACAATTGATTCTTCTCGATGGAGAAATTGAAAATTATATTTTATTATTATTAATTATTATTATTATTATTATTATTATTATTATTATTATTATTATTATTATTATTATTTTTATTATTATTATTTTTATTATTATTATTACTATTTGTTATTATTATTATTATTATTATTATTATTATTATTTTTATTATTATTATTTTTATTATTATTATTATTATTATTACTTATTATTGTAAATATTTTTTTTTAATATAATTATTATTATTATGATTATCATCATCGTCATCAAGGACCAAAAACCAGTTTCACACGATTGAGGGTGAAAAAAGGGGGGGTGAGGGGAGATTCGAGTCGATGGACCTCCTAGCGAAATATCTCTCGCGACTGGTGCTCTCTCTCTCTCTCTCTCTCTCTCTGTATGTACAACGTCCGCGTCTACTTTTTGATATCCCACTGTGTGGTAAAGAACGATCGATCTCCATATTACGTAACGTGTCCTGGGGGCTGCCTCCAGCTTCCGTCTCTCCTTTATATTTTCATTCACTTCTCTTCAATTTTTTTTTCTTTTTTTAATTTTTTTTTTTTTTTTTTTTTTTTTTTTTTATTATTGCATTCCGTTATTAAATCAGTTTTACTCGCGCACGCACACACATTCTATAGCTTGTATATATAACTCTAAAGCGCTCGCTTGTTTTAATTTACGTGTATTTTTGTTTCATTTGTTTTTTAATTTTAATTTTTTTTTTTTGGGAAAACATTTTTATTTATTTTTTTTTTTGTTTCCATTTTTTTTTTCTAATTTTTGGATATTTGTTACATTTTTGGGGATGATTTTTGAAATTTCTTTTGATACAATTTTGTATTTTGTATTAAACAAAAAAAAAAAAAAAATTGTAGGACAGCAGTGAAATTTTAAGGATTGTTTGTTTTCGGACAGCAGTAGAATTTTTGCAACTTCTTTTGATAGAATTTTGTATTTCATTAAGGAAATTTCAAAAAAAAAAAATGTGGGACAGTTGTGAAATTTCAGAAATAGCTTTTTCGGACAGCAGTGGAATTTTTTTTTTGAAACCTCCTTTTGGTACAATTTTGTATTTCTTTTTAGGAAATTTCAAAAAAAAAAATAATTTGTTAGGACAATATTGTGAAATTAAGAATATTTTTTCGGACAGCAGTGGAATTTTTGGGACAATTTTTGGAACTGTACTACAATTTTGAATTTCGTAGGATGTTAAAAAAAAATATTTTTTTGGGACAGCAGTTAAATTTAATGACAAATTTTGGGACAGTTATGTGGTTTTTTTAAGTTGACACCGCAACTAAATAAATTGTTCGATATGAAACTCGACGGTCAAAAAAAAAAAAAAAAAATATAGAGTGTTTGGTTTAGAAAGAGCGAGAGAGAGAGAGAGAGAGAGAGAGAGCAAATCTCTCTAAACTCAGGGCGAGGACACGTGCACGCGAATTCAAGTTAAGAGCACTCGTGGGTCGATTGTATTTCGCATGAAACTCAAACCGCCGGGTGTCCTATACTCTATTATTTACTTAAACATTTAATTAAGAGGTTTCAAAAGCACCCGTTACAATATTCAAGTACATTACAAAGTCCACCCTCGGTATAAAGTTTCGACAAAAAAAAAATATATATACATATTCGCGAATATTATTTTTTATTATTGGTGGCGGTAAAGTTTTATATCTTCACTGTTTTTTTTTTTTTTTTTAATATTTTTGTGGTTACTTTTTAGGCACAAAAATAATTGTCACAGAATCATACTTTTTTTCAAAGTTGTCCTTTAGATTGCACAATTGTCCTAAAAATCAATCTGCTGTCCTAAAAATAACTTAAAAATTGTCCACGTGTCCTAAAAAATGCAAAGTTGCATTTAAAAATTTTTTTACTCTTCCAAAAATTAGGCCAATTTTCCTAAAAATCAATCTGCTGTCCTAAAAATAACTCAAAAATTGTCCACGTATCCTAAAAAATGCAAAGTTGCATTTAAAAATTTTTTTACTCTTCCAAAAATTAGGCCAATTTTCCTAAAAATCAATCTGCTGTCCTAAAAATAACTCAAAAATTGTCCACGTGTCCTAAAAAATGCAAAGTTGCATTTAAAAATTTTTTTACTCTTCCAAAAATTAGGCCAATTGTCCTAAAAATAGCATAGCTGTCCAAAAAAATTCTAAAAATTGTCCTAATAATTCAAGAGTTGTCCTTAAAAAAAAAATTTAATTTTAATTCTGAAAAAAAAATTTTTCAATGTCCTAAAAATAGCATAGTTGTCCGAAAAATTAAGTAATTGTCCACAAAAAAATTATAATATGTCCAAAATATTATAAAAATTTTTTTTTAAAAATATTTTATGTTCTAAAAATTGCTCAATTGTCCTTAAAAATTATTACTACTCTTTAGGGATAGTTATAAATTTTTTTTTTTTTTTTTTTTTTTTTTTAGGGCAATATAATATTTTTTGGGACAGTATAATAATATTTTGGACAATTATGCAATTTTTTGTAGGACTTTACGGATATTGTTTAAGGCAACTGTACTAATTTTAGGAGATTAAAAAATATTGTTTTAGGACAGCAGTATAATTTTTACAACAAATTATACAAATTTTTAAGGATAACTGTTGAATTTTTTGGACAACTATGCAATTGCCCATGTTTATTGAAAAAAAAAAAAATATGCTAAGTTGCAACTAAAAATTTTTTAAATCACCTAAAAATTGACCACGTATCCTAAAAAGTACAAAGTTGTCCTTAAAATTACATAAATGTCCCAAAAAAAATTAAAAAAAAAAAAAATTAAGAAAATAAATTTTTTAAATGACCTAAAAATTGAATAATTGTCCGAAAAATTGAAAAATTTTTTCCTAAAAATTATAAAAAAACGTTTTAAAAATATTCCAAAAAATTGTTCTTAAAAAATATTTTATAATGTTCTAAAAATTGCTCAGTTGTCCTCTAAAAATTATTACTACTCTTTTTTGGGACAGTTATAAATTATTATTTTTTTTTTTTTAGGGCAATATAACATTTTTGTAGGTATAATAATTTTTCAGACAACTATATATGTTATTTTTACGATATTACAGATTTTTTTTTTTTTTAGGGCAACTATATGCTATTTTTAGGAAATTACAAATATTGTTTAGGACAGCAGTATTAATTTTTGCACGACAATAATTGGCAATTTTTTTTTTTTTTTTTTTTTTGGAAAAACTGTCCAATTTTTCGGACAACAATGCAATTTTTACGCAAATATTGCAAAAACAGTTTTAGGACAACAATTTATATTAAAAAATTTTTAGACAATTACAACAAGTATAGTTTTAGGACATCTATTTAATATTTTCGGGCTTTTTGAACTTTTTTTAGGACTTTTTTTTTATAGGACACCGCGGTATATATAAACAATACTGTTTTTTTTTCCCATACTTTTTCAAAAATTCATCTCTCCCTCATAAAAAGCAAACTAAATAGTTAAAAAAAAAAATTAGAATAAAAAAAGGGGAAGACAATGAAAAAAAAAAAAAAAAAAAAAAAAAAAAAAAAAAAAAAAAAAAAAAACCAATCGAAACAAAATAAAGAAAAAAAGGTAAAAAAAAAAAGTAGGAGTTAATTCTTGAAAAAAAAAAAAATCAATGAATAACTCCCGCGCGCTCGTATACCGAACGGTCTACTTCCTTCGGTGAGTGGTGAAACAAAAAAAAAAAAAAAAAAAAAAAGAGAGGGTTTCGCGGTTTCACGATGAGGGGATAAGAGAGGGGAAAAAAAGGGGGGGGAGAGAGAATCAGAGAGTAAGAGAGAGGTAAGGGCGAGGGGGGGGTGACTCAAAGGAAGAGACGAACCACGATAAAAGGGGGGGGAAGCAGTGGGTGGGGATGGCAAAAGAGAGAACACGAGGGAGGCCGCCGATATATATATATATATATAACGGACATTTTTTTCCGGGCGTTTCCGCGGAAAGAACAAGTTATATTTCGCGCACACTGTGTAAAAGATGAAATTCCTCTTCGAACTTATAGTCAACAATTACCTGTCGTAAACGTGCTGCTACTCAACATTATCTCTCTCTCTCTCTCTCTTTCTCTCTATTTTTTTCTCTCTCTTAGTCTCTGCCCCCCCCCTCTCTCTCTCTCTCTCTCTCGGCCTTTTTCTCACTGTAGTTACGGTCCAAGATTGAAATATATAAAGCAAAACATTATATACAACTTTTTTTAATGTCCGTTTGTCCGTCCGTCCATCCGTACGTTTCTTGCCAATTGGGCCTTAAGGCCCCCCCCCATTATTATTATTATTATTATTATTTTTGCCAACTTCGAAC